GTACATACCCCCAAGAGGAAAGACATTATTGCATTTCAGCAAATAATTAGAACATTTGTAATTTTAAAATATACTTATACTACCATAGGGAGGCAATTGGTGGGAGAAGAGAGAATGGTATAAAGGATTTTTTAAAAAATCTAAATGGAAGTCTATTATTATAATTTCTTAATAGCTAGGGGCATTTCCAAATTGATAAACGATCAAAAGAAAATGAACAGGCAGTTTTCAAAGAAAGAAATTTAAACTATCAATAACCACATGAAAAAATGTACCAAATCATTACTAATTAGAGAAACATTAATTAAAGCAACTCTGAATTTGCAAAGTTGACAAAAAATGTAATGACAAATGCTGGAAGGGCTTAGGGTAAAATGGCATACAGGTGCATTAATGGTGGAGCTGTAGCATGGTATAGCCATTTTAGGAAGTTTGGAACCACCCCCCACAAAGGTGCTAAACTGTATGTAACCCTTGACTTAGCAATACCTCTACTAGGGCAGTACCCCAAGGAGATCAAAGAAAGAAAAAAAGAACTCATAGGTACAAAAACATTTATAGTAGCTCTTTTGATAATGGCAAATAATTGGAAACTAAAGGAGTATCCACCAATTGTAGAATGGCTGAACAAATATGAAATATTTGAATATGAAAATAATGGAATAGTACTATGCCAAAGATGAAAGTGACAATTTTACATGAACCTGGGAAAACTTGCATGAAATGATATAGAGTGAACTTAGCTGAACTAGGAAAACAATGCATAATAACAATATTGTGTATTTTAAAAAAGCATCAATTTTGAAGACATCAGAACTCTGATCTGTGCAAAGACCAACCCCAAACCCTGCAAAAAGGTGATGGATTCAAGATGAAAACTAAGACATACATTTTTGCACATAGTCAATGTGGGAATGTGTTTTATTCAAACATTCCTTCGTTTAAACCTATTAAATGGCTTCCATGCATGAGACTGTGTTGGGACTGAGAGCGGTGGAAATATAAATAAGAGAGGGTCACTGCTCTTGAGGAGCTTATAATCTAATAAGGGAGATATGTACAAACATAATAATAATAAAAATAAATTTATGACAAGAACATAAGAGGAGCATCAGACTATCAATATAAAACTCTCAAGATCTCAGAGGAAACTCTGGATATATGTGATCCACATCTAGATTAAACTGATTATTCTCTAAAAGTGGAAAGTGCTATTCACTATTACACAAAACTTTAACATGAAAATAACTTATAGTTCAACAGAGTGCCTGGTACATAGTAGGTACTTAATAAATGCTTGATGGTCTTACACGAATGTCATTTTACATTAAATCTGGTCAGAGATTTAGAACTGGAAGGGACCTATAGGTCTTCTATTCTAGACTCCTGAACTCCCACCATTTTACAGATGAAGAAAATGAGACCCTGAGAGATAAGGGGCTTGCCCAAAGACACACAGTCACCAAGTAGAAGAGTGTTTTTAAACCCAGATCATTACTTTCCCTATTACACCACAGACATCAAGGTAGGTTTACACCAATACACTAATCCCCACAATAGTTTCTGTGCACTAAAAATATTGTAGGGGCATATCACAAAAGGGAAAAATAATTCTCCAAAGGAATACAGTCAGATGAGAGAGGTGTGAGAATGCCTAGCTAGTTCTGGTCTCCCAAGTTCTGGACTTGAATAGTTTCCCCATTCTAAAAGGTTAATGGAATATATTATAGCATTCGAGCATGGTAGCTCTTTGGCAACTTAACTCAGAGGATTTTTCTACTTCACAGAGTTGCTACTGAGAACAAATAATAAGAGTTATAAGCCAGGTCTGGGGTGAGGTAGGGAGGTGAATAAATAGAAGGAAAATGGTATTTCAGTTCTTTTCCAAAGGACTTCAACTTTTATTCCACTCACCAGGTGTATTAAAAATTTGGCAAATGGCCCAATACAGCCACTTCTCCCAATATCCTTGCTCCCTCACCTCTATATCAAGGGTCTTTAACCTGGAATCCATGGACCTCCAAGGGATCATAGATAAGATTTCAGGGAGCCTGTGAATTTTTTTTTAAATTTTAATAACTACATTTCAATATAATTGATTTCTTTTGTAATCCCATGTATTTTATTTTAGTCATTCAAAAACGTTATTCAGAGAACATGTCTCTAAGTTTCCCTGCACCACAAAAGAGATCCATGAAACACAAAAAAGTTAAGAACCCCTGCTCTATAATATTTTTTCTCCTCTCTTACCACCATAAGCCATTTCTCTTCTGGAATGAACAATTGGGTAAACTGAGTGATGATAGACTGTGAGGTCCTTGAGAGAAGGGATTAACTTTTTTGCCTTTCTTTCTATTTCCAGCCCTTAGCATAGTGCCTGCCACATAGTAAGTGCTGAATAAATGCTGTTTGATTGACTTAAAAAATCATTCCCAATAGCTATTTTAAAGCATTTGAAACGTTTAAAAATAAAACCATGTACATGCTAAATGCAGGGAGATGATTTTGCTGGTTGTTTTTTTTTTTCCTGGTTATACATATAACAACAGGAGTCTGGTTTAGAGGGCAGAAATTGAGATAAGACTTAAATTTCCTGGGTTTTCCTTCGAGGTCTCCTGAATGGGTGACATCAAGGATGCCCAGCTCTGACTTATCAGAAGAGGCTTCCAAGATGCCTGAAAGAGAAATGCAGGCACCATACATAGTCTTAGGTATTAGTACCTATTTTGGAAAGAGTTCTACAGTCTGGGGAGAGGGGCGGAGTGAACATCTGGGAACAAAGCCTCTTTCCACACAGTTTTGGTCTTTCAGCTTTTCCAACAGTTGCCAAGATGGGAGAAGCAATGGTTAAACAGGGCTTGGGCCCATCAAGGGTTCATTACCCTTTCTTTGCCTAAGTGCCACAAAGCTCCTTTGTGTTCCTTGCCTTCCCTTTCAGAGGGGAAGCAGAGGCAGGAAGACTGCCAGACAGCTGCCCAGGTGGGAATGCTTGGTGGCTTCTAATGAAAGGCTTCTGGCTAATAGGGAGAGGCATTATCACAGTTCTGATTATCACCATTCTACAGCATACTCTGATCTGATGCTCTATAATCCAAGAAAAAACAAAGTAGCTTATAAAGAATAGTCTTTAACAAAATCTTAGGTGGAGAAAAACAGACTACCTCAGTTTTCCAACCTCTCTCTACCCCGAGAAAAGCATTTTAAAAATCTAGATGTTAAATCGGTCTTACCCTACAGGAAAATGGGGGGGGGGGAGAGAGGTGATAAGAGAAGAGGGAGGAATAGAATGGAGGGCAGATTGGGGGAGGGGGTAGTCAGAAGCAAAACACTTTTGAGGAGGAAAAGAGAGAATAGAATGGAAGGAAATATAATTAGCAATAGTAACTGAATTTTTTTCTTTTTTTCTTTTTTCTCCTTCTCTGATAAAGGCCTAATTTCTCAAACATATAGAGAACTGAGTCAAATTTATAAAAATGAGATCCATTCCCCAATTGATAAATGATAAAAAGATATGATTAGTTTTCTGATGAAGTAATCAAAGCTATCCATGGCCATATGAAAAAATACTCTAACTCACTACTATTAGAGAAATGCAAATCAAAAAAATTCTGAGGTACTACCACCTCATACCTATTAGATTGGCTAATAGCACAGCAAAGATAAATGACAAATGTTGGAGGGAATGTGGGGAAAATGAGATGTTAATGCATTGTTGGTAGAGTTGTGAACTGATTCAATCATTGTATAGAGCAATTTGGAACTATGCCCACAGGTCTACAAAACTATGCATACCCTTTGACCTAGCAACACCACTACTAGGTCTGTATCCCAAAAGAGATTAAAAAAAAAAAGGAAAAGGACCTATAGGTACACAAACACTTATAGCAGCTTTTTTATGGGGGGCAAAGAGTTAAAAATTGAAGGGATGCCCATCAATTGGAGAATGGACAAATTGTGGTATGTAATTATGATGGAATATTATTGTACTATAGGAAATGATGAGCAGAGTGCTCTCAGGAAAAGACTTATATGAGCTGATGCAAAGTGAAATATACTGTGTACAAAATAACAGCAATATTGTAGAATGATCAGCTGTGAATGACTTAGCTGTTCTCAGCAATACAACAATCCAAGACGAGTCTGAAGGACTTATGATGAAAAATGCTATCCATCCCCAGAGAAAGAACTGATGGTGTCTGAATACAGATTGAAGCATACTTTTTTTTTTAGTTTCAAAAAAATTATAGATGTTGAAGCAGGAGAGGAGGGAAGTAGTTAAATTTTTATGGTGGCAAATTTTCTCCTATGAAATTCATGGATTAAATTTAGCTGCGGCCAAGTGATGACTATAATGAAATTTAAAATGCCAAGATAAGGTACTTTCAGAAGGAACATGAAAAGGGGAAAAACGATTTCATGGCAACAAGTACATATGGTATGACATTTTCCGGATGTTTTTTAGATTAAAAAAATAAAGTCTCCTTGGCAAATAGAAATAGTTTTGGTTGAAAATGAGAAACAAAGGTATAAGATGATATGAGTCTAGTAAAGGTAAAGAAGGTAAATATATGAGCTATAGAAATCTAAATCATCAGTAGAACTTTGTTTAGAAAAGAAACAAATCCCTAAACATTAAATTTTTTCTCAAATTAGAAATAAAAATTTCTTAAATTTGCATATATAGAATTTTCATAAATATGAACTTTGTTCATAAATGTAAATAAAGGAAAAGATCTTCAAGAGCAGAAGTTCTGTTGTTAAAGAGTAATGGAATTCATTCCAGATATTCATTTGTTCCAAATAACATGTGATGAAGAAGTTAGGATCTATTTATCCCAGGATCACAGACAACTCATCAAAAATTATCTTTAGGAAAAGGGACTCTACAAACCCTCCCCCCTCAAAAACTGTGATTCTATTTCTGCTATTTGCTACATATTTAAATTTATATGATCAGTCTGTTTCAGGTGGGAAGTGTCTCCTTAAACTTAGCACCTTACCTGATCGATAACGTTCATCCCGGGACCCTGAGGACCTGCGACGGTGGTATCTTGAGGAGGAAGAGGGGGTAACAGGAGTCCGGCGTTCTTGTGGCAAGGCCTGATCCACCCCTAAATTCAATGGGAAAAGGAAAAGGTAGATAATTGTGAGGATTCACTTGGAAGAATTTTCATGGAAATTACAGTTTGCCGATTTTTACAGGAATCAATCATGCTTATCCTGTGACCCAACAGCAAGAAAGCATGAATGTAGTTTCCATCAGCTAAACAGGAGTCTGAGAAAAGAGGGGATGAGAGGATTGTGGCCAACGGCAGTTCCCAATTGGTGGGTAAAGAGATAGTTAATTTGAGTACTGTGAAGAACATACTTACTAAGGATAATAATATACTTAAACTACGCTTCTCACCACCTAAGGGCAGTGGAAAAAAAATACAACAGAGTATACTAATCATACAATATAGCAGACTTCTATTTCAGATGTTTAGTAGTCCTTCTAGGCATTTGAAGAAAATGTAAACGAAGGTACAATGAACAAAGGAAATCTACAACATCAAGACAAGGAATAGGAAATACAAAACACAGAAATAAAGTTTTCTTCTCTCTCATAAACCAAATATACCTGTTTTTAAAAATCTGTAAGACAAACATCTTTTCCAAATTATGTATAAATAAGAAATATATTGTTTTTTAATATGAGTCAATCAATCAGTTCATACTAACAAATCATGGAGGAACTGAAGGCCTAAGGGTATCCATTCATCAGAACAGGTGTTCTTCCCAACCTTAATTTGGTTGGTTGGTACAAAAGTATCAGTGTGGGCTTTTACCATCTGTCCACCATCACTTTAACCTGGCATAAGTGAGAGAGAAATTCTTTCATCAATTCTGACTCAAAGGGAGGAGGTAAAGACCCATTGGAAATTATTGTGAGAGTTAGTTCCTATGGTGACCATGGCCATGACGTTAACTTCAACTTAATGATAGTAATTATCATTACGATGATAATCATTTTTATTGTTATTCAGGTTATAGAATCTCCCAGTAGGTTACTAGCCTTAGAGAGACAAGTTTCAATAGAATTCATAGGAAAATTCAGGAAGACTTGAACTTTTGTCATTTGTTATTTCAGATTACACAGTTTTAATCAAAGGATACAAACACTCCAGGGGAATCTACGATTTCAGTAATGCAGGTATTTCCCTTAAACAATGTATGTTAAGGAGGATGAGACTCACAGAGTGATTTGCCCTGAATTTTCAGGTTCTGGGTAGTGGTAGGGAAAGAGCTCTCCTAATTCACAGCACTTCGTTTTAAGTCCTCCCCTTGCCCCAAGCAAAATTCCCACTGTCACTAACGGGTGAACTTTCAAACCTAACTGGTGCATTAGAAAGTATGTGTTTGTTCCATAAAATGGCTCTTGGATATATTAGCTATGTTGATGCTATGTTGACACGATACCAGTGAGAATGTCAGGATGAAGCCACAGAGGATAAATCTCCTACAGTGTTTGAGGTTTTCTCTACCACAAAGTTGTAAATGAGGCAGAGTTGCAAAGAAAACCTACAGGGCAATATCAAACAAGAACTCTGCTAACACCTGAAATATTTCAGTTGAAGGATGATTGTATCAAGGATAAGTATTTGTTCCCCCTGGAGACTATACACAAACTCAAAGACAGAGGGAGGGAAGGGAAAGAAACGAAGTAAAGAATGGGAAAGGTGGAAGAACAGAAGGGAAAAATATAAACCACTCTTGACTGGAAACAATTTATAACTTCCAAACAAGTGCTCCAGTTGAAGAATTCAAAAGAAAATCCAGAGAGGGGAAAGAAGAGAGCCAGAACCAGAGAGCCAGAGCCAGAGAGCCAGAGAGAGAGACAGACAGACAGAGAAGGAGCCCAGAGGGAGAGAAACTCAACAATGGAAACCATTAACCAGCCAAGTTAAATTCTAAATCCTACATCACTGGGAATCTGGATATGTTCAAGAAGGAAATAGAAACCTAAAGGCCCTTCGGTCAGGTATACTTTCTTCCTTGTGTCTTTAAGTCAGAGAAAAGAGACAACTATTTCCTATTCAACCTAAGTTTAAAGGCTGTGACACCAGTAAATGTAGTGTAAGATTTCATGAATGCTATGCTCTGGGTAGACAGTATCTGCGTCACTGGAAAATATGTAAACCACATAGTTACCATAAGAACATGGCAGATATGTTTGAGCCTATAAATTTCCACAGAATAATGCTAATAATATGTTTAAACCAGAACAGATCACCATGTAATGACCTGGCAGAAGTGACCACCTTTGGAGGAGTCAGGATGCCATCTATGCCAGAAAACATCTGTAGTCAACTTTAATTTAAACATAAAGGGAAAGTCAGGATTTCTGAACTAAAATGTCAAAACACACATGCTCAGAATCACGGTTATCTATGTACTACAGAGAACAAAAATGAGGAGGAACATAAAGTGGTCACCACAGTATGCATTTCCAATAGCACAATCATTGTGAGGATTGGCCAGGTATGTGACCTTGAACTTAACCTCCATTTTCTAACCTCATACCCTGAATCATATGGAACCATCAAATTAGAGCTTTTCAAACTGTGTGCTGAGGAGCCACTGAATTCACCAGAAATGGGCTTGGTGAGACATTTCATATGCAAGGCTAGACTTTAGGAGTTTTAGTGAAATTACAGATTTTTTTTTCAAACTTCATCTGCCAATATGACTTATGAATACTGCCCTCCTGCCTTCTTACATCTCTAAATTACTATCAGCTTTACCTTAAAGCTATATATTTATTCTTAAAGTCAGTGCCAGAAAGAAATAACAAACAGGTGAAAAGGGTACCATATTTAATGATGTGAATAGTTCGTATTACATATTCTTTTAATGTTCACAAAGAACTTTACATACAGTATCTCAATGGACACTATTTGATTTGCTGTTGTACACATAAGAAGATAAAAAGGAAAGCAAGAAATTATTATAAATTAAAATATAATTCTTATGACCTTACTATTCTGACAATACTTATTCTTATATTATTTCAAGATAAGCAAAAATACGTACCACCACCCTATCCTTACCTCTTAAGGTAATATTGATTTGTGCCTACAGACTCATAAATTCCATTTGCTTCCACATGCCCAATGTGTGTGCTGTTTTACTAAATTAGCATTTAATCAAGGTTCTGGAAATCAGTATTCATTTTATAAAATGATTTCAATAAAAACCCCCTTAAAAAGCCTAGGTTGTGGCTTTACTCCTAGTTGACTTGATGTTTTGGTGCGTGTTCCCTTGCTCAGAAGGCAGACAGCCAGAGCTTATAGTGAGTTCACACTGTGGGAATTTGAACTATCAGGTTCCCTATCATTCTCCTACCCGAAAGAAGCCAGAGGTGAGAGAATCAGACTATGCAACATGCACGACTTACAGGAGAATAAATGTACCAATATTCAGTGCTTAAGACTAAGCAGAATAACTCCCCACACTTTTAAAAAAAAAAAAAGGAATGTTTTGGAGCAGCTTTAGTCCTTATCTGAATTTAATTTGGATGAAGAGCCAGAAATGAACCATCAGCACCCTGAGTATTGACAGGAAATTTCACTAATCATTCCATCATCTATTCTACTGATATATTCAGTAAGCACACTTCCTGGCCAAGTGTCAGAAGTCCATTTTATATTCTTGATCAAGAACATGGCTGAACTGGGATACAAATAATTTAACACTTTTGCTGATAGAAGATAACAAATCAGGCTAGCCAGTCACTACCTCTCAGAGAGTTGGTGACAGCCCCAGGAGAGAGCCTCAAAGAGGCATTTTAGAATGAGGTGGAGAGTTATTCACACCTCAGTTAGCAATGAGAACAGACTCCTTAAGAGAGAACAGCAGGAGAAATACAGACTCACCAGTGTCTGTGAGTACTGGGCCAAACCGTTTGTGGTGTTCATGCCCATTTGTAATTGGGATTTCTTTTATATTTCCTGTAGCAATCTGTTCTAGGAAAAATATCAGGCTGAGTTACAAATTGGCCATGTTTTAAATTACTAACAATTACCTATTTGAATGTTGTTTCTTCCTCTGTCCCAGGGCTTAACCTTGTCTCTTGAATTTTATCTAGAGAAAATGCAATCTATTTCTACATCACTAGAGGAGCTATAGGTTACAGGTTTCCTTCAGCTGAAGACCACATTCTTTGAAATCTATGTATCCAAGGCTTACATACCTACTCCCAAAGCAAAGGAAAAGGGGAGAAAAAACAAATACATATCAGCTTTAGTTTAAATGCTTAGGGTAGCAAATGGAATTTTTATTGTCATAATCATCAGAGTCACAATACAAAGCACTGCCTAATATACTACCTGAAAACTTCACAGAGTATGCTGTGCAGATTAGCACCTTTGAACATCACGTTCAAGATGCTTTCATGCTCTTTCTTGCGTACTGAAAACACTACCCTAAATCTATGCTTTCGTATTATTGAGAAATGATGCAATGAAAGAAGCCCTCTGATAAAATGGGAAGGATGGGATTAATTAAAATTGATGTCAAACTCAACAAACAAATAAAAATAAGAATGAAAAAGTGGGCTGTTACCAAATACCTTTTAATTTTTTTTTAAATAGCCTAGTCTCAGCTCAGATTCTTACAACCCAGGTAATAGTTCACAAATGCTTAGATTCCTTAAGAGTCTGGCCAATATGGTTGATCTGTAATAAACGTTGTCTTTGGCTGAAAAAAATAAATAGCCTAGTCTCTATCAAAATCATTTAGAAGAAATAACAGAACAGAAATAAAATAGCAGATAATAAAAGTCTGTTTCATGGATTGACCTACTTGTAAACTCAAGAAAAACCAAGTGGATGAAAAACATATATGACTCAGATTATGAAATGCATTGATAGCCTGCTAATTAGTCCAGATTTCTATATGTAAGTATACATGTATTGGACAGATACTACACATGGTCAGGCAATAAGCTGAACCCAGAACTCAATAGAAAGTAGAAGATCATACTCAAAAACATTTTTTATGCTGAAAATCACTTTCAATGGTCCAACATTCTTCCAAAAAAATAAAAGTGAAACAACTTTTAAACATTCAA